TGACAGCACAAAACCTCGGCATTCCTTCTTCCTTGGCATTAAAAAACCAACTCAAATACATGTATATATTTTTCATAGTCTTACGTATAAAATGCCTTTTTATTTTTGCAGTACAATCCTGACAATTTCAAAAGGTGAGAAAAGAAACGTCATATCTCAAATAAATGCATTCTCCAATTGAGTTAAGTAACATCCCATAGACCTTTTTTTAAAACGCCTTGGGCATATTAAATGTCTTGTGGCTACTTTTGTACGAAAAAAGAAGCCTTATTGAAAAAAAAAGAAAACATTAACTCAAATAGGCGCAGTAAATGCACCATTAATAAATGAGACTTGTATGGGACGAACTGTTTTATTCCAAAAACTCTTTTTAACCATAGCTGTACAACCAAAGCAATGAATACAAATGATCCATGATAGTCACTTTTTTTGTTACTACATGCTGATCGTAAAAAATATTCATCTTTTCTTTGACAGAATGTAACGAGAGGCCAGAATAAGGTGGAGACTGTGACAGAAAGAGAGAGACCAGATGACTGTACAAGTCAAGCAAAGCACATGGTTTCCTCTTACATTCATATTTTCAACATACATTTGCTGTACAACATAATTATAGACAATACAGACCATAGTGGCTGACGTACACAGCATATACAGGTTACCCACTCAAAACCGGCAGTCTGGATGACAAACACATGGGGGAGTGTCAATGTTTGTTTGTTTGTTTTTTCAATCTTATGAGACAAATACGAAACAAACAAATCATTCCCTCTGTTGTTGACCTTTTATTTCAAACAGTCCTTCTGGCTGACGGAGGCTTTGCTGGTTAACTTCTGCAATCTTTATGCACCGCAGGCTTCCCTTCCCTTCACTTCACTGGAAACACATCAAGGAGGCTCCAGTTGGATGATAGTCCTTTTTTTTTTAAGTTGTCACGTGTGATTGGTGGAAAAACAATGCCAAAATAGAAGCAGTGTGTGTGTGTGTGTGTGTGTGTGCATATATACATAAATAAATACCTTATTGTCCTTTTAATACTGAGCTTGCTCAGTTGTCAATATCTGATATGTGGTTCTCTCTCTGCAATTACAAAAGCACAATAATAATTAATAATAATAATAATAATAATAATAGTTCTTTGACACCAAGTAGGAGAGACCACGACTTGATGTCCCACTTTTTAAACTCTTACACATTTCCTTGTAATTATTACGCCATTTACAGTCTAAACAAGGGGCGCAAAGGGCACTTTGTTTATTGCCCCATTCTTTGCTGATGTGACAAATAACCCCAAAATGACAGTGGCAAGTTTTCCCAAACTACCAAGTTGGCAAATGCAAACTCTTTCCTGGGGGAATAACTGCTGCAATTTTTAACTGGAAGAAGCACTCTCGCGGAGAACATGATTGCAATGTGACAACTTCCCCATGTGACAACAAGCCCAGGTCTCTCTGGCTACTGCCCCAAACAAGGAAATGTTAGCCAAAAAAATCCTTTTTTTTCCATTTTCTTTATAGTTTAAATAATGTTAAAACTTCATTTCAAACATAGCCTGTACAGTTGAAAACATTTTTTCTGATGATTTTACACGGGAAACTGAAATGAGACTGTCAATGAAAAGTGGGCAGTATTCTTATTCGAGGTTGCTGACATCAGACGTCACGATTCCGGCATCTCACCATGTCACCGGCGCCCTCGTCCTCAAAGTAATCGTCGCCGCCGTCCGTCATTTCCCCTGCCTCGGCCTCGGCCCCCAGGTCCTCTCCGCCGGAGTGGTCGGCCTGGTCGCCGTGGTGACATTCACACGCCTCCTCGTGTTTCCTCTGCATCTCTGGCAAAGGAGAGAGCACCAAAACACCAACGTAACCAATGAACAAACTTAAGCAGCAGATAGTGTAACCTTTTTTGGGGGGCTGTTCATTTCATGTCCCACCATGCTGTCTCTCAAATTTGTCCAGCCTCCCCAGCAGGGAATCAATCTTGGTCTTGATCTGCGACAGTTCCTTTTTGATACTCAGCAATTGCTCCGTCTTCACTGCGCAGTGCACATGTCAACGAAACAGCGGGATTGGCGAAGATCAGCGATGTAGGGAAAGCATTGAAAAACACATTTGAATGTATTCAAAAATATTTTCGAAACATCATGAAAGCAAAGCGGCTGACCAACGGCGGCTAGTTTTGGTGGTATTCAAAATTTGGTGGCCAGCGGCTTTTATCCAGTCACGCAGTAGCTGTACGGTATGAGAAGAAAGCTGAAAAAAAAAAAACAATTTACGTTTGGGTCCCGTGACAGAAGACGGGACGTTGACAACCCGGGAGGAAGAGGAGGAGCAGCAAGAGGATGAAGAAGAGCAGGCCCGGACGGAGAAGGAGGACTTGATCCTGCGCGGGGCGGACGGCACGACGAGCCGAGAGCGTTTGACCGGGATGACGGCCCGGGCGGGCGGCACCACGCGACCGTGGTACTCAAACAGTCTGAAGACACAATAGACACAATCGAGTCACAATCCAAATGAGCGCTATCAGCACATTTTAGGAAATCATACAACATGAACAAATAAGACGATTTCAATGTTCATCCTGTAGTTGAATATTATCGTCGTATTGTAGCAAGACAACAAAATCTGTTTGCAGACGCCCTTATGACAATAAGCGGATTAGAAAATTCATGGAGGGTGTAGATACTGTATATAGACAGAATCATAAATCAACATTCAGGTCTTGTGTCCGAGGCTTTAACTCCCAAGGCCAAATCAGATTTTTGTGAAGTCAAGTCAAAAGCCATCAAAACAGAAACTCTTTTTGCCGTCTCCGCCTCAAATACAGATGATGACTCAAAGTAGTCATGCGCGCACTCGCTAATAATTCAAAGCGCAGGAAGGAAACAAAGCAATGAAAATGTCAAAAAGGAAGATAAATGGGCACGAATGAGCAGCCGGGGGACAATCTGACAGTCGGCGCTCGGGTAAAAGCGTCATTAAGAAGCCCGGAGTGGAAGAAATAAAAAGCTCCCGATATGACATTCATTATGTCTACATGCTAATACGCTCGCTTTGCCTGGGATGCTAATTCTAATGAGGAAACTCAACTGCCTCCGGAAAAAAAGGAGACGACAAATATCAGGCAAATATGAGCGCAGCGGTCGGCGGAAACCTTCTTTTATACACTCCTCCCAGGGCCTTGTCAATTATTTATGTGGCGTGAGATGGAAAGCCAAAAATCATGCTCTGTTCCGTACTTTTAAACTAAACCTGACCTTTTAGTCTCACATTTGCGACAAAATAAAATGCAAAGTATCAAAGTGCTTTTCTTTTGCGTAAACAGGAACACACCTACAAAAAAAAAAAAGTGCTAGCAATCTTTTTCTCCACATGAAAAATTGCAAAAAGTACATTCTTCAATATACGACCCCAGGATACATCAGCGCAGACGCGTCCCAGTGCATGCAAGAGATGTTTCTTACAAAGCTTTGTTTTAAGAAACAGAAAGAAAGAGAATTACCCCGTATTTATTTCAAAATAAACACGTAGCTTAACCTTTCACTCTGCTAACTCTAAATAATAGCATCCATGTTGCAGTGGAATAACCGTCTAAACAACGGATTGAACATACACGGTGCAGCAACACACGTCGACACAAATATAGCAAATATTATTGCCGCACTAATGAGCTGAAAGGAGTTGCGACAGCTCAACGGAGAGTCCATCCATCTGTTTGCCAAGGTGGGCGCACCAGAAGGAGCGGCGCAACGACCGTTACATTGATGCATTGTGACAAAAATGATTTCATTGAATTAATTCTGACACGATCATGGAAAAAGATTATTTGAGCTATGCGGGTTTTGACTTACAAGTTTGGTTAGGTAACAAATTAAACACTTAACGGTAGCTCAAGGACCAACTGAATTTTTTTATACTCAACATACCTGCTATAAAAATCGTCTCTGTAGTAGTCGTAGTCAAACTCGTAGCCACTGCAAAAACAAGCCAAAAATGAAGTTAGACGTCCAAGAAAGACTCTGAATGAGGTTGATTCATAAAGGAGCTCCAGAAGCCCCTTTGATTGACAGGTCAATTAATGATAGCAAATGGTCTGGGCAAGCCTGCTCAACTGGAGCCACAATGTTAGCGCTTCCATTTTCCCCCCCGACCTCCGTTACAATTAGAAATAGGCAAAGGACACAACGGGTGCACAAAATACAGTAGCTTGGTTGAGAGACGTGCATGCGATTGGCTCCAGTCAAAACAGCAGCCATACAGATGAAGAAGTGGATATGGCATCCTCCTTTTCAGCTATTATTCATCAAACAAAATGATGAAAAATACACCACCAATACAACACAGTCCAAAGTATTTCAACACAATTTTTAAAAAAAAATTCATCGTTTTCATTTTAACAAAGTCATATATCCTTATAATAATCATATTCATGACATTTATTATATGTGATTTTCTTGACCTGCGTCTCGTGGCCTGCCTCAAATGTTTACATTTTAAATCAATTCTTGTTGTTTTTATGATTACATTTTGTGCTCCAATATTCTGCTTGGATTTTTAAATCAAAATTTTTTAGTGAAGGAAGGAACCCTTTCAGGGACAACGGTCACTACAACGGATAGTGTATCATGTTATCAGGTTACAGGGTGCATGAAAGGGTTAAGGGGAGAGGCCTGGTGGTCCAGCGGTTAGCGCGTCGACCTCACAGTGCAGAGGTCGAAGGCTCCGGCCTTCCTGTTTGGAGTTTGCATGTTCTCCCCGTGCCTGCGCGGGTTTTCTCCGGGTACTCCGGTTTCCTCCCACATTCCAAAAACATGCACGGCAGGCTGATTGGCTGGCAACCGGTTCAGGCTCTCCCCCGCCTACTGCCCGAAGACGGCTGGGATAGGCTCCAGCAACCCCCTGCGACCTTTGTGGGGATAAAGCGGATCGGAAAATGGATGGATGGATGGATGGACGAAAGGGTTAAAGTAAGGGTCCAACCTGTAGAGGGATGACAGCGGTCTCTTGGTGGCCATTTTTGGCCGGTATGGTTTAGGCTCTCCTGCCATGTTGACATCTGGGTAGACAGAGCACAGTCCTACGGTCACAGCAGGCAGAAATATTGGAAGATGAACCACGCGACCAATCCGCTAACACTGTCAATCCCGCTTTGCCCCGAAAAACATGCCAATGAGTCAAGGTGGCACTGTGTGAAATGTTCACATCGCCATTACTTGAAGCAAAATGATGATGGTTATCAGTTATCGTCACGATAGCGTGAAAGGAAATTCAAGGACTCAAGGAATTTTTTATGTCATCCCAACACGTATATTTGCACATGATAGGGCACAAAATAGGAAAACCGGGTTAGCCCGGTAAGTCCCAAGACTTGTGAAAAGGAAAACAGAACAACAAAATAAAATAAAATATAAAGGGATAGGGGGCGGGTACTTCATCATAATTTGAACGTGTGAAAAGACGCAATGCAGCAAAGACGTGCGGATGAGTGAGACTTGCTAATTGGAGGCGGGGCGGGTCAGTACATTCGGTACACTTGCACAGGCTGACAAGAACCAAAGTAATAATACTTCGAGAAAATCGAAAAACAGCAGTACTAGACCCCAGATGAGTGAGACTTGCTAAGTGGAGGCAGGGCGGGTCAGTACATTCGGTACACTTGCACAGGATGACAAGAACCGAAGCAATAATGCTTCGAGAAAATCGAAAAACAGCAGTACTAGACCCCAAGAAATGCACAAAAACAGCTGGACAAACATTTGAAATACATCAGGGGAAAAAAAAAATTTACAAATTACAAAAAGATGAGATAAAAAATACGTTCAACATTTTTTATGCAAAGGAAAAAAAAATTAAAAACATTCTTAAAAAACAAAAACGTTGAAAGTAAAATAAAAATATGCAAAAATACGCAAATTACAAAAAGAGGAGATAAAAAATACGTTCAACATTTTTTATGCAAAGATTTTGGCGGATGAGTTAATGGTGGAAAAACTTTTGATACGATCGATCACATTTTCATGTCATCAAAAGAAGGAATTTGAACAGGGGTGTGATGACTTTTTCTATCCAGCGTGTGCATTTAACGCCTCCTTCTATGGTCCGCTTCTTCATTTGTTTGTTTTCTGTTGCAGCACGTACAAGATGGGAGGAGCCGAAAAAGCCGATTACGACACTCAGTAAGTATCATTTGAAACGGACGCACGAACCAAGCATTTGGCATTTCGGCACGGTTTACCGGTAAAGCGTTTCATGCCTACAAATGAGTCACACTGATGCATTAGCAGATGAATTTGCACACAACGCCCGTCTCATCGTTATGACTGACGGCTCCTTTTCGACGCGCTCCAAAAATGTCCCGGCTTCTGCTCAATCAGCCCCGAGCGCGCGCCGCTCAAGGTCGCACATGACGACGCAAACAAATGGCCGACAGCCTGACGCAACAAGCGCAGATGTGCGTTTTGACGGATGAGTCATCCCCGCTGACACCTGTGGAAAATGTTGTCGTGAGAAAAATACTGACAGGCTCAGCAATCAAGCGGAAGGGACTTATTTAGCCAGAAATCCACTTCCACGGCGCTCCAACTGGACCATCCGCAGCAAAAATGCTCACAATACAGACGACCCCGTAAGTCACGATGCACATTTTTTTTTCCTCCTCAATTTGGTTTCAGGCATCATTTGGACAGCCAGGAGGCCAACGGCCTTTGACACCTTACACTTGGCAGTTTGTGTCGACATATTGCGTCATTACCTTGCCAAAGGTTCAATGTCAACTTGCCGGGCAAAAATTTTGTTTGGGCCGCGACTAAAGTGTGGCAACAGTTGGGGAAGCTTTTTGGACATTTGCATTTCTCCAACGCATGGCACGATTCACACTGTCTGTGAGAAGTTTCCGGAAACGGGATCCGTTCTTGACAAATGGCTCAGCAGACGGGCCGCGTCACCGCCGGTGAAAACACAAAACTTGGACAGCGGGCGTTTGCGCAAAGCCGAAGCAAGTCTATCTGGACGACTGGGCAAGAACTACCATCAACAAAAGCTCAGGCGGTGATCGAGCTTCAGCGGTCACAACTTGCAGATCGATCAAAGGCTTGAAACAAAATATTTGGTGAAGCAAAATGATTCACGTTGGTACGGGGGTAAAGCTTTGATCACACTCGGAAGCATCCACCGACATCAGGTGTTAGCAACGTGGCGCTTGCCCCACATTGCCGCCAAGGACCGCGTTAGCTCACCATTTTATGTTTTTTCTTTTTTTTGTGTGTGTTATTGTTGTGAAAAATAAATAAATAAATAACAATTACCACTAAGCTTCAGCAAATCTTTTTTGATGCAATTCTTTTAAAAATCACACTTGCATTGGGTGTAAATTTGGTAATTACATTCGATTTTTTTTTCTTTTAATAAATAAATATTTTAGAGCAAATGTCAGCATGAAAGCAAATGACCAAATCATAGCAATTGTGGAGAAAAGCTAGCACAAAGCACTTTTTGGTTTGTTTGTTTAGGTTTGCTTTTGAGCTTCCTACCGTCTCGAATGCAACATAGGTCGTCTGCCAAGCAACAAGTAGCCCAAAAGTCATCTCTCTCTCTCTCTCTCTCTCTCTCTCTCTCTCTTTCTCATTTGGAACAACATGCTGTGTAGTCACCATGTTTTTTCCCTTTCAGCGAGGACTCTTGTCTCACATCTCTCTGATGGCCTACAGCAGTAGGAGGAAGAGGAGCAGAGGAAGAGGGGAAGGTGGGCACGCATCGGTGGCTCTCGGGTGCACCGGGACAGCCGCATCCTTGTAATTAGACCGCAGGAAGACATGAAAGATAGCTCCCGTAACAAACGGAGCTCTCCTGTGCCTCCCCCCCAACTGCTCAAGTCGTAAAAGCGCTCCGAAATGAAACACCTCGCGACAGACCAACTGATTAATTACACTCATTATGTGGGTAAAAATGGCCCAAAATGGTGCACTGTACTTGTTGCCGTGGGCGTCTGTCTGGGAAGGAGGGTGGAGGTGCCAAGCAATAGCAGCCCCTCAAGTCCGGCTTTGAGAGGGGGCATAAAAAAAAGTTTCCTCGTGTTTATGATGTGTCATGATGGGCACAGCACAGCAGGAGAGCACACAGATATACTGCACTAATGGCTCGAAAACAATTCTTCTCTGCTATATAATGGATTCACTTTAATAGCGTCCATGCAGTGCAATTTTTTTTCCAATCTTGTTTATATTGCGAATTATTCACTCCATCACGGGATTTTGCCGCAATTATTTTCCTCTATGGACGGATACTATAGAACAAAAAGCGCGAGGCAAGAGGAAAGAGTGCGTAAAAGAGAGACTATCCAAAAGTTTGGGATGATTAAAAGCGAAAGTACAACAACGCATCTTAAGTTACGTAACCGCGTGTCGACAGTAACGTCAGCATTGTTAGCTCAAGTCATTTAATATCGCCACCAACCCTTGGAACAAATTCCAATCCGTCCACCCTTGGTCAAGGACACGGCCGCACTTTCAATGACTTGAGCGACCAAAAGGTGGTGAAATAAACACGAGCACATACTCACACGCACACGCACACGCACGACTTGCCGCTTGACCCCAAAGGCACGCACGGCGTCACTCAACACAGAGCGGCTCACGGCTTAGCCAGTTAACAGCCGGCCGCACTCATTCACCGACTCCACCGACCGCTCGTGTTGTGGCTCATGACTAACATCTCGACCACGGGTGTCAAAGTCAAGGCGCGGGGGCTAGATCTGGCCCGCCATCTCATTTTATGTGGCCTGTGAAAGCAAATCAAGCATGTCAACTTCCATGACGCTTGCTAACGTCTGAACCAACATTTCAAATTGTCATATCTAATCCATAACAAGAATATGTGAACGAGCCATTATTCTTGACTTCCGATTTCAAAACAAGTTCCCCATCAATTTGTTGTTCGCTGTGTATGTCATACGTGGAGGTGGTGAAGCATTTATATGGTTTGACAAAAATTGACAGTCACAACGGCCCTCCAGGGGAAACCGTAACGAAAATGCGGCCGGCGGCAAAAATGAGTTTGGCACCCCTGATCTAGACTGACCGACCCGACTGCTGATGCTGTGACATATCGACTGAGCAATTAAGAGCGCGTCACTTTTTTCAGGTCACTCGGAGATGGGCTTGAAAATTTGTTAGCACGCCACTATCAAGGTGAGGTTTTAAGCAGGGGATGCAACACGTTTAATCGAGCCAAAATGGACCGCTCGACACTCGGGAAAACCTCATTAAAGTGCGGATGGTCAGAATCATTCGGAGAACCTGACAGCTTCTGTTTTGACTCTATAACGGTGCTCCGATTGGAGCATCAACAGTCTTTTAGAATTTGGCCCCCCCCCCCCCAAAAAAAATCCCTGCAGCTTATCTGCCTTACAGCTGCATTCATCTTTGCAGAAGTTTTGTCTCGCAGTGCGAGTCCTCTCATTAAACCGGGGCTCAAGTTTGGTTTTGGGCCGCACGGTTTTTCAAAGAGCCCCAGAGTCCGCTACAGATCGTTGGGAGGAGTGAAAGCACAGATGGGGACACACGGCTCATCAAAGGCTGCTGAGAACCAACCTGCAGCGGAGAGGGTTCAATATCCCGCCGCTCCAAGTCGGAGCGGCGGTTGTAACCGCGTCGCAGGAGAAACTCACTTCAAAGAGTCGCGCGTATGATCACAAGTCACGTTATCGGGAAAGATTTTCGTCATCGACAAAAGGGAGATGATGATAGGAGAGGACAAGGTCGAATGCAGGCTCCAGGTACCCGTCCCGCAAGATCACACGGCATCCATGGAGGCAAGCTAGCTTGTGTGATGACGATGCTATCATCGTCACACAAGCTAAATCATTTGAACAAATTTGTTATTTCGGAATAAGAGGAAGCATTCTCAACAGTGGCACAACAATGTCTCATATCTCAAAAACCTGTCAAGTTGAGTCACTGGTATCTCAAGGCAACCACCGTGTACATATTTTTTTTCTGTCACCTGTGTAAGATTGCGTTGGATGAGTGCGGGTGACCAAGTGTTGACAGCGCAGTGATG